ACAGAGAAAATAGACAGATTCCTAGAAGCATACGAAGTACCAAAGCTAGGTAATGAAGATGTAAAACCACTGAATAAACCAATTTCTATTAATGAAATTGAAGATGAAATTAAATCTTTACCTACAAAGAAGAGCCCAGGCCCAGAGGTATTCACTGCAGAATTCTACAAGAAATACAAAGAAGACCTAATGCCAACACTCCTCAAAATCTTCAATGAAATTGAAAGGGAAGCAATTCTTCCTAAATTGTTCCTAGGAGCAAATATTACTCTAGTACCAAAACCAGAGAAGGACCCAACTGAAAAAGAGAACTACAGACCAATCTCCTTAATGAACACAGATGCAAAAATCCTCAGTGAAATATTGGCAAACAGGATGCAGCAAATCAAAAAGATCATACACCACGACCAAGTGGGAATCATCCCAGGCATGCAGAGATGGTTTAATATATGTAAATCAATAAATGTAATAAACTATAGCAATAGAGCCAAAAGTAAGAATCACATGATCATTTCTACAGATGCAGAAAAAGCTTTTGATAAGGTTCAACATTCGTTTATGATAAGAACCTTACAGAAAATTGGAATAGATGGTCGTTTCCTCAATATGCTTAGGGCTGCCTATGACAAATCGACAGTCAATATCATACTAAATGGCCAAAAATTGAAGACATTTACTTTAAAATCAGGGACAATACAAGGAGGTCCCTTATCACCACTCCTATTTAATATAGTACTGAATATACTGGCCAGAGCAAATAGACGAGAGAGAGAAATAAAATGCATATAGGAAAAGAAGAAGTTAAATTATCACTATTTGCAGATGCCATGATACTCTCCATAGAAGATCCCCAAAACTCCATTGAAAGACCCCTAGATAGAACACAGAAATTCAGTAATGTAGCTGGATACCGAATCAATATTCAAAAATCAATACATTCCTATACACTAACAGCAAAGTTACAGAGAGACAAATAAGAGAGATCACACCCTTCACACTAGCAACCAAAAAAATGAAATATTTAGGAATTACTCTCATGAAAGAAGTAAAAAACCTATACAGGGAAAATTATAACACCTTGAAAGATGAAACTGAAGATGATCTCAGAAAATGGAAAGACATCCCTTGCTCATGGATAGGAAGAATAAATATTGTGAAAATGGCCATTCTCCCAAAAATTTTATACAGATTCAATGCAATCCTGATAAAAAAATAAACATACTCATTAAGTGCAATGGTTTTAACCTGGGTTGTTCGATTTTAGTGTCAGTGATAGAATGAATAGCTATTCTGAAGAAAACAACACATCCTAAAAGCTAGTGATTTAATATCGTCTTGTTTCGAAGTCCCATCAAGCAGTTGTACATCTGTTTCCACTGGCTTTAACATGTTGTATCTTACTATAGTTTACTATACGTGACAATATAAGCAAAATTTTTATAGGCAAAGAGATAATATAGAAACCATTTTTCATTTTCTGTTAACTGGTTCTAAATACCCTGTAATTCTTTCATTCTCTTGAATGGCTTCACACTGTCTTGATATGCTTGATGCTACAGTATACAAAGTTATATTCAAATAATTCAAGGAATGAGGCACTATGGTGACTAATATTATGTTAGATTATTTGGGGGGTGAAACACAATGATGCTTAAATAGTTCGGTTCTGACCAGTGTTGTTCTATTACAATGTCCTCTTTTATCTGAATCTCCACTCTTTTTCAAAAATCGATCTATGTTTTCTTAATTTTTTTTCAATTAAGGGAAAACTAAATTAAAAAATAGCGGGATATATTATAGTAACATTTTTGTTTTCTTATTAGCCTGATTTGAACCCCACTATTGCTCTCCTCATCTTTTTCTGTCTGATTTTACTGAATTCTATATTGTTTGATAGTATCAAGTTTGAAGGTATAGGCAACCACTTTGAAGGCAATAAGATTTACTATAATGCCCATTATGGTTTGATTATTATCTTGTTTTGAAATACTGTAAGGTCTCCAGTGTAGGTTTTATTGGTCTTGTTCTGTACTGTTTTGATCAATTCTATTATACCTGATGAGATGGGCAACTCTTTTTAAAAATAGCAAGAGGCACACTCTTACCCATTTTTGATCACCTGATATTCTATTTTTGCATCATGTACTATGCCCATCCTTCTGTTCTAACCGAATCTTTTGTTTTTTAGTCATGTTAGGTTTTATTCTCTTCAAAAAAAGTAGTTAGAACTGTGGCAGTAAAAAAACACAAAAAGTGTAATTGTTATTGTAAAAAAGAGAGGAAATGAAGGTGGTATAAGGGATATAACTGCATGTTTGAGTGTGTAGGATGGAAAGCCATATTACTGAGCTTTTGTTGGATCATTGAATGGAACTGTCTGCAATCTGACTGTATGAATGTCCACTTTATACGCTTTAATTCTATAATTTGGACAACTGATTCTAAGATGAAAATATGTAACCTATTAACCAGTGATTTCTTACTGTATTATTTTTCTTGAAATTCTGTATTATTTATACACTTTTAATGCTTTGTTTTTTATTTCCTTTCTTTTTTCTCTTTAAATAAAAAAATAATCAAACCTGGAACGGATATCTTTTATTAAATTATTTTTGGTACTGTAGATCAAACTCACGACCTCACACTTGCCAGGCAGGTTCTTAAGCCACTGAGCTAAATCCCCTGCTCCCCAAAGTACATATGTTACATCTTGTCATCTTCACAGTAGTTGCCTCTGCTCTTGGACTTGGTACAAGCAAGCATACCAAATGTGAATAAAATCAGTCAAGGCCAAATAACATTCAAACAAACCAGCTTCAAAGAAGATCAGTCATAGAAGACAATATAAGTAATACAGGGTTTCATTTTAAGTTAATAGGTAATTAAGGATAGTTACCATGTTATAACCTGCTATTTTTTGTATTATCTCTCTGTGCCCTCAAATCTAATGTGAGTAGACAGGCTGGAACAAAATATAATCAAACTAACCAGAGCAATAAGTCTACGGTAACTTTTAAATCCTGATACACTTTTAACAATGCCCTCTGCCTTCTTTTTTTTTAGGCAATTCCTCACCTTTCTCCTTCTCAGGATGCTATTTTTCACGGTTGAGAGTGATATTAGTCTATTCTCTTATGTTCAATTTCAGCATACACAAAGATAAAGACAGCTACTATGAAGAGAATGAGAGACATTGTGGTAGTTATTATCGACTTCCCCAAAATCAGTTTGAAGACTGAAAAAGCCTACATCATCCTGTAATTATTTGATTAGTTCTATAACCTTCAGTATATATTCAATGCATTCTAGATGGGAACAACTATTTGGAAGAAAACTAGAGACAGTAAGATAGACAGTGAACATCTCCAGTGGACTTGCTTTGAAATCTGTGTTTCCTTAACTTGTTTACTTATGAACTGTTCTGTTCTGTTTTGTCATGTTTAATCTTACCCTCTTTAAGAAATAAAACAAGTGTGAAGGACAGATAAGCATATTAATAAGTTTTTGTTTGATCATTGAGGTGAACTGTTCGCAGTGTCATTATTTGAATATCACTTTGTATGCTTTATTTTGTAACTTGAACAACTACTCCTAAGATGACAATATGTAACTAATCAACTAGTGATTTCTTATTGTTTATTTTTCTGAAATTCTGTATTATTTCTACACTTTTTTCTGTTTTATCTCTTTAAATAAACATTGCAATTTACCAAAAAACATAAAAATTCAATTTTAAAGACAAAATATTAAGTACATAGACACTATCCATACTTGAAAGTTAAAAGCCCATTTCAGTTTACCATGTTTAATTACAAGATGCCATGTTGAAGCACAAAGACATTTTAAAAAATCTAAAGAGGTACAAGTGGTTAACTGACAACCATACAACATGTGCACTCCAGTAGAGCTCCACCACAGATTTGTCATTTCTGGAAAATTTGTGAAGAAATATTCATATCAAACTTCTGTATTGGTTATTTCTTCAGGTCTCCTTGGGATTTTTAAAGTAAACTTAGATCTAAACTGTCTGAGGAGCGATGCTTTTTCTATGTATTTAACAACAAACATGGATTGCCATATTTCTCACATAGTTAATCCACATAGGATCTCTACCCAGTGAGTTCTTTCAGATATGTAACAATGATCATGTGTGCTGAGAGTATTCCCATAACACATAGGATTTATCTCTAGTGTGAGTTTTTTCATGTATTTCACTTACAATCTGGCTGCTGAGAGTGTCTCCATTTGCTTACATAGCCAGTGGTTCTTCCCAGAGTGAATTCTTTCATGTGTTTTGCAATGACTGTATGCAGTAAAAGCTTTGCCACGTTGTTATATACATTGGGTTTCTCACCAGCGTGAAGTCATTGATGTATTTTACAGTATCCATGTGTGATGAAAGCTTTCCCACATTCTTCACATACACAGGCTTTCTCAACAGTGTAAATTTTTTCATGTATTGGACAATGAGCATTTCTGCTGAAACCTTTCCCACATTACTTACATATATAAGTTTTCTGCCAAGTGTGAAGATTTTCATGCATTATGAAATATGTATGTGTGCTCAAATCATTCTCATGATGCTTATATACATTGGTTTTCTCTTGAATGTGAACTTTCATGTTGCTTACAATGTCAATGTAGGGTAAAATCTTTCCCACATTGCTTATACATATGTTTTCTCTCCAGTGTGAATTCTTTCATGTTTCTTACAATATCTATGTGTGGTAAAATATTTCCCACATTGCTTATACATACGTTTTCTCTCCAGTGTGAATTCTTTCATGTTTCTTACAACATCTATGTGTGGTAAAAGCTTTCCCACATTGCTTACATACATATGGTCTCTCTGCAGTGTGAATTCTTTCATGTTCCTTACAATATCTATGTGTGGTAAAAGCTTTCCCACATTGCTTACATACATAGGGTTTCTCTCCAGTATGAAGCCTTTCATGTTTTTTACAACCTGCCCATGTGTTAAAAGCTTTCCCACATTGCTGACATACATATGGTTTCTCTCCAGTGTGAATTCTTTCATGTTTCTTACAATCTCCCTGTGTTTTAAAAGCTTTCCCACATTGCTTACATACATATGGTTTCTCTGCACTGTGAATTCTTTCATGTCGCTTACAATGTCCAGATATGGTGAAACCTTTTCCACATTGCCGACATACATATGGTTTCTCTCCAGTGTGAATTCTTTCATGTTCCTTACAATGTCCGTGTTTGGTAAAAGCTTTCCCACATTGCTTACATACATAAGGTTTCTCGCCAGTGTGAATTCTCTCATGTTCCTTACAATTTCCTTGTGTCATAAAAGCTTTCCCACATTGCTTACATACATAGGGTTTCTCTCCAGTGTGAATTCTTTCATGCTTCTCACAATTTCCCCGTGTGTTAAAACCTTTCCCACATTGCTTACATACATAGGGTTTCTCTCCAGTGTGAATTCTTTCATGAATCCTACAATGTGCACGTGTGTTAAAAGCTTTCCCACATTCCTTACATACATATGGTTTCTCTCCAGTGTGAATTCTTTCATGCTTCTTACAATTTCCCCGTGTGTTAAAACCTTTCCCACATTGCTTACATACATATGGTTTCTCTCCAGTGTGAATCCTTTCATGAACCTCACAATATCTATGTGTGGTAAAAGCTTTCCCACATTGCTTACATACATAGGGTTTCTCTCCAGTGTGAATTCTTTCATGAATCCTACAATGTGCACGTGTGTTAAAAGCTTTCCCACATTGCTGACATACAAAAGGTTTCTCTCCAGTGTGAATCCTTTCATGAACCTTACAATATCTATGTGTGGTAAAAGCTTTCCCACATTGCTTACATATATAAGGTTTCTCTCCAGTGTGAATTCTTTCATGCTTCTTACAACCTCCCCTTGTGTTGAAAGCTTTCCCACATTGCTGACATACATAGTGTTTCTCTCCAGTGTGAATACTTTCATGTTCCTTACAATGTCCGTGTTTGGTAAAAGCTTTCCCACATTGCTTACATACATAAGGTTTCTCACCAGTGTGAATTCTCTTATGTTCCTTACAATGTCCTTGTGTCATAAAAGCTTTCCCACATTGCTTACATACATAAGGTTTCTCTCCAGTGTGAATTCTTTCATGCTTCTCACAATTTCCCCATGTGTTAAAACCTTTCCCACATTTCTTACATACATAGGGGTTCCCTCCATTGCAATATTTTTCATGGGTCTGAACATTGTGGTGTGTTTCTGTTTCTTTCACATTCACATTACCTCCTGCAGTACAAAGGAATACTTCTTTACACAGATTCCAAGATGTATGTCCATAGAATTTCCCTAGCTTGTCATTTCTGTAAAGAAAAAAATCATATATCAGATTGATAACTATATTACTAAGTTTTGTTGGAGAGTTGAATAAAACTGTTCGCAGTCTTGCTTTTTGAATCCCTATTTCATATGTTTCACTTTTGTATTTGATTAACTATTTCTATGAGCAGCATATGTAATCATCGTCTTGTGATTTCTTACTGTTCATTTTCACTTTGAATGTAGTATTATTTCTACTTACTTTGTTTTATTTAATCTTTCCTTACATTAAATTAAAAAAAAAAGAAAAATTCACAGTGAAATGGGTCTCAGTTTAATGACTGCATTAATGTCAAGTTCTGTTTTTAATGCCTAAGAAATTCTGACCATGAAGCAACAGAATGGCCTGAAAACAGCCATTCCCAAAAGACTGGTACACATTTAGAAATCTTAAAAGGTGGTACCTTATGAAATGCAGAATATTTAGCTTCTCTTTGGGCATGGGCACTTACGTGTATCACAGACAGATTATTCTGATATGGTTCCCCATCACAATCTTGCTTCTGTCCTTAACTTGTAGTTCCCTTTTTCATATGGTCAGTCTTACTTTTATCTATTAATTCTCTTTTGCTTCATTCCACAATTTTTATTTTGGTTTCCTATCTAAAAGAAACCCTGTGACCTTTTACGTTTTATAGCTGAGCTATTTCTCTCAAATGCTGGGGGAAAGGCCCATCTGTTTCTTATGGCAAATGACATTATATTATTTATTTTTTGACATTATGTAAAACATTTTTTTCTTTTCCAGGCTGGAAATGAACAACAGGTATTAGCATAATATCTATAGCTTTTTAAAATCCGTTTTAAGAGACTTTCATTGATCATTAAGCTTTGAAGTTTGAACTTGAATTTGCCATTCTGCAAAATCTGATTCATAGTGTGCTGGGTTTATAAGAATGCACAATCACAGAGAGTCTATTAACATTTTCCTTCTTCACAAATCCAGTGATAGATAGCTAAGCTTCTTCAAGGCCTGATCTATTATAACTTTATCTGCTTTGTAAATGAGTAAGCATGTATCAGTATTTTATGCATATTTTGAGATTTTAAAAATATAACCAAGACAAGTATGAGGGGATCAATTTCCAGAGACAACTGCATACTGATATTCAAAATGAGTGCATTAACATTCCACCAGCCTACTAAGAATTTTAATTAGAATGGCTGATTCTCTAGAACATGGCTTGGAAACACGAGCACTCAGTTTTATTTCAAATCTATTGCAATCATAGCAATTTATAGATAATGAATGTGTTGCATTCACATGTATATATTGGTACAAAATTTGTTAGATAATGAATGTGTTGCATTCACATGTATATATGTGTACAAAAACTGAAGACAGAATGTCATAACTCAAAGTGTATGCCTTTTGTATACATCTATATGCAATGTCATACATTTCCATGATTTAATTCACTCATTATACATACCCTAGCTTACATATCTTCAGAGAATATTATTGACATTAAATTGAATGGTGGTCATTTTTCTATTGACTCACTAATTACTCAGGAACATTCCTTGTCCTTGTGAATGTGGATTACCTTAAGTATCTCCAGTAAATTTTGCATTCTTTTTCAGCTTCCTGGATATTCCCAAGTCCTCCTGAATTGTAGACATAGAAATACCAGGACTCATTAGAGTAATATATACAAATTAATACATTTTGTTTAGATATATGATATAACGTGTCCAGATTTGAGGTAGTTTTAAAAATATTTTCATGTTCTTTTTAATGAAACAGCATTGATGAGCAACAAACAATATTCTGACAGCGTGAGTGACAAAAAGATTTCATCCTTACCTATCGCAATCATGTTGCTAACAGTTTCGCCCATCACATCTCTGTAGAGGTTCTTTTGGAATGGACTCAGCAAAGTCCACTCTTCATTGCTGAAGTTCACGACCACATCCTCAAAGATCACTGCGTCCTAAAGGATCATACATATATTTCTCAAAGGAAGATTGAGACCCCAGTTTTGGGATATCTTAAACTCTCTCCTACAAATCTGAATCAAAAGCAAAGTGTGGTGGTGCATATCTATAATCCCAGCACTCAAAAGACTGAGCCAGGATGGTTTCGCTGAGGTCAGGGCAATTCTAGGCTCCATAGGATGTTCAAATCCAGCTGATATACATACAGAAAGCTTTTCTCAATAAAACAAAACTAAACTAATAAAATGAAAAAAACAGCTGAATGAAGACTGATTTCTTCAAATTAAATCCATGTCTTTGTCATTAATTTTGTGTATATACACATTTTTGAAGACAGCAAAGTTGATGCTAGATTTTAACTCACTGCTAATGTAACAGGCAAATAGGAGTACTGATTCTTGTGCTGAGTCACTGCAAGATTCCCTGTGCACTGTCTCTAAAGTACAGCTCACAGTGAGAAGCCTGCAGGACCAGCAACCACAAAGCACAGAGACAAATAAATATCTCATCAATCAACTGGGAAGCCAAGCAAGCAATTCCTCTCCCTGGTCAGCGGTGGTGGTTTGGCAGACTGCAGCCCTTCCAGGGTGAAAACCAGCAGCAGCTCCTGAGATCCATGCAATATTGGAACTTAGGACACTGGGAAGCCAAGCAAGCACCACCACTCCCTGGTAAGTGGTGGCGGTTTGGCCGACTGCAGCCCTTCCAGGGGGAGAACCAGCTGCAGCTCCTGAGATCCATGCCATGTTGGAACTTAGGACACTGGGAAGCCAGGCAAGCATCTGCCTTCCCTGGTGAGCAGTGGCAGTCTCCAAACTGCAGTCCTTCCAGGGGGAGAACCAGCAGCAGCTCCTGAGATACATGCAATATTGAAACTTAGGATGCTGTGAAACCAAACACCATCCTGTCTCTCTACTAAGCAATAGTGAACTTACTGATGCACCACCTAGAGTCAAATATTCCATTTCCCCTACCCCTCTACTCCTGTCACTCCCCTACCCCCCCCCAACCCCGTTAGCAAATGAACTAGAAATCTGAGCGTCTCCTGGAAGTTGACCATAGCAAATAAGGGGGACTTTCTTCTACTATCTCTTTGAAGGCAAATATTTTTATTACTGTTTGGCTCTATACTGATTAATGGTACTGCTCTATTCAATATTCTGTTTTGATAAGTTCTATAATGTTCTGTATTTCATCTCATTTTGATATACATGTTTGAAAGAAAAACTATTATAAAGATAATGAAATATACTGTGATACCTACTACTGTTATCCCAGTAACCTGTTGTGAAGTTGTGTACCAATTTCACTGTATGATCTTAGTTGGGCTTATTCTGCCTTCTTCTGTTGTATTTTATCTATTTCAAAATTTAAAAAAAGAAAAAAGTCTCATCAATCACTTTGATAGACTATGGAAGATGTATCTTCAAATCTCATTTAGGCCAGTGAGTACTTTGTTCTTAATATAGTTAAGCAGCATTTTGAAATATGAATTTGGTTTCATAGAACAAAACATATATAACATCAAATATGGTACATAAATAATAACTCAAATGTTAGTGGAAAACAGCTATATTTTAAAAATATGTATATAAAATGAAAACAGGCCCAAGCTGTAAATTATAGCTCACTGTCACCAAGTGATCACTTTCAATTCAGATATAAGAATTATATGTTGGGAGGCTGGTGATGGAGTTCTTCCTTGAACTTGCGGCTATCCTAAAGTTACAGAGCTGTCTAAAATAGACAAACCCTGACTGAGATACCCCACAAACAATGTGAAATCTAAAAAGTGATTACATAAAATAGCTTTGGTTTGTTTTAAAAAATTATAGCCATACAATACAGAAAAACTCCAACAATACTCAACACTTTCTGAGAAACAATGTGGATATCTTTCATACTACACAGAAAATATGTTCATAGTTGAGTATTTAGCTCACTGGCATGACCGCCTGCCTGGAAAGCATAGATCATGAGTTTGATCCTTGCTACAAAAATATTCAAATTTCACCTTCATGACACTGGGGCATAAGTAGAGATAATCAAAATTAGATCTCAAGTATGAAACACAAAATTCATAGGTTGACAGGGATAAGGAATACTGATTGTTGCCAGAGCTGGTGTTGATCACCTCAATGAAGCAATCAGAACCCAACTTTAACTTTATACTTACTCTAAGAACTACCTGACTTTCAGTAAAGACCTTCTCTGTTGTATGTCCTGCTATTTGCTTCCTAAATCCTGTCAATCATTTTCACATCCTTTCTACACTTCTCTGTTCCATCCTAAGAAGAAAACCCTTCATGCCTAACTTTTGATATAAATGAAAAATTTCTATTGATGGCTCCTCCTTTACACCACTTAGAAAAGTCCATTGCAGAGCATTTCCATATTTAAACTGTCTATGTACAACCAAGCTACTAAATCAGCTCTTAATTCAGAGATGACACCTGTATTCCTTTCCATTCAAAGGATATCCCCAGTATATGTCCATGCAAATGCCTAAATTTCAGCATTTTTCGATGAGAATTTAACATGTAGCACTTTCTGGAATTAGTCCTTCACAAACTTTTACCCTAGCCTTGATAAAACTTCATATTTGCTTCATTTTTCTCAGACTTCAAAACTCTATGGCTATTCCCACAAACCTAGTCTGTGAGCAGTAGTGCCACCTAAATAATTATGTTCAGAAATAATTTGCAATGATCTGTATAATACACAGGAGTTCACCAGGTGTTTGGGAAGCCTTTCTCCAATGACGCACACTACTACAAATCTCTGAATCCTCAGGACCTTTGTCACTACCTGTCCTGAGGATGGAAATAAGAGAATATAAATTTAGGAGATCATTATAAATACAAAAAAGCCCAAGTTTAAGTTGAGCCATTGTGGCTATGAGGCCC